AATTCGTATAAATTCGTAATTATTTATAATACGATACGATGATTTTTTTCCAAATGACAATCGTTTAATTATTGCAACCGTTCCCAAGTAATTGATGAATATTTTCAATTATTTTATTTTGATTAATTTTGCATTAAATAATCGTTGGAAATAAAATCAAATAAAAAGGGGATGATGAATAATAATGCCTAAATGCGCTAGATATTATAACTCGCAACATTGTTGTTTGTGGCTTTAATATTCAGGAAGGTCTCTCTATTCGATATTTCGAAAGTTGCGCATGTGCGAGAAAGAGCAGCGGTTGGTTGACGTGCAAGAAATAAGCACGTTTACCTAGTGCACACACAGTTACATGCGCATAGGGCTCATATTAAGCTTACAACTCGTATTGTTAGATTTGTCCATTACTCTTTTTTATTCCCCCCCCCCTCCTTCTTTTTATATTTATTTATTTCTTTTTTTTCGTTATTTTATTGGAATACCGATTTGACTAGGTATCGGGATAAAATTATATGAATGGAAGTAATGGACAAAATGTTTACGATATTCTCGTGAGAAATTATTCGATATATTTATTTAAACGGGGGATTGATTGATAAGTTTTGATACCAACGTAGAAATATTTTTTTTGTTGAAATTTCACTTTTGTTTAAAAAAAAAATAAAATTATAGAAAACTTTTCAATTTGCCTTTGTTGATACAACACGAAGCAAAATCTTAATAACTCGTCGTTGTTCTTATATTGTCAAATGTAGGCGAGTACTTTCCTTTTCAACACAATGCAACACACACACATACACGTATACATATATTACTGTTAAATCGAAGCCACAGACTCGTGGACGATCTCGTCATTGCTAGAAGAGATCTTGTCATGCGTCTTGTTCTTATGCACATGCGTGTATGTGTATGTGTGTATAAATTTCTCTGTCTCATTTCTACATACACACGATCAAACATTTTTCGCCACGCCTCGAGAATGCATACCTTATTAATATAAGGCAACCAGATACACCTACTGAAAGGAAATACGATATTACTTGTATATCGCAGGTGCTCTTATTCCTTTGCCGAGGCCGTTAACTTGATTAGTTACTCCCTTTAAATTATTATTTCAACCTTTTTTCGGTTATAATCATTTACTCGTTATTTTCTTTCCTGATTACTATACATTTATATGTACTCATCTTCCTATCATTCTCCTCCATATGGTCAGAATATTGTTGATCAACTATCGTATGCAACAAGTCTGCCGGTTATATTTATAATTACGTTCAAATGATTTTATTGTTATTAAATTATTAACAATCTCTAGAATAATTTTTAATATTACAATAAAATAAACATTACCTAACGTGCAAAGAAAAACAGAATATAGTAATAATTTATACTTTTATAATAAAATTGTATGGGCGGTTTGAAAAGTTTTAACCCTAATGAAGAAACAATTCTTTTTTTTCTAACTATCTTTAATTTTTTCAACATGTTCTCGAAAGTTTGAACAAAAAAGAAAAAATTTTGCAACCTTTTCTCGAACTTTTAACAATTACGCAAATTACACATGGCACATGTAAATGCGAATAATGTGGTCATAACTGATAAACAACATGTTAATAGGTACGAATATACGATACATAGTAATCATTATCATAGCTATTGAGAGGATTTGTACTTATATTGACCCAGAGATAGAGAAAGAAAGAGAAAGAGGAAGAAAGGGTGGAAGAGGTCGCACGATAAAAGAGAATTAAATTGCCCACGAAGCTGCTTCTCGAGTGCTTGTTTCATTGCGAACGAAGCCTAAATCCACGTATGAATGAAACTGCTCGCGTGCACGACGATTCAGTCATAACGTGTGCGAGTTCTCTCTCTTTCTCTTTCTTTCCTCCTTTTCCCCTGTTCCCACCGTTCTTTCTTTCCTTCTTTCAAACCGTTCGCTGACTCCAAGTCTTCTTTCGCCATCTTTCTTCCTCCATTATTTCAAATATCTCGACGATTATTTTTTTTTATTTCTGTCTCGGTTTATTTGTTAATGCGTTTAAATGATAACGTTTAATAAACAATTATTAATTTTTTATCCGTACAATTTAGTAGTAAAAAAAAATGTTATATACAAACGATGATGGTAAAATAATAATTGATTTCAATAATTTATATATTTAAATTAAAATATATATATACCTGTGTATATATTATTTCTATGTTCAATCAACAATTAGATGTTAGTTTTATTCTTAAACAATTACGAATAGAAAGAATAAAACGACAAACTTATATTTTCTATGAATATTATCTTGGCAGAATAATAAAAGAAACAAACTTGACTCGGTGTTGCGTTGCGTTTGTGTTGTATCGCGGATGGAGTGTCATCGAAGAAGCAGGGAAAGCTACATCTTACAATCACGGTAAACGCGAGAATAACGCGTTTCTATCCTCGCGATCAGACAACAGGGGTGCGGATATTGCAGCAATCGTTTGCATAGTTTCCAACCTGCGCCGCGTTATTGAACCGCGAACGCATGTCGTGTACTATGCGTTCGTGCGAACATAAGCGAGGACGTGTGTTATGCGTTGAGGGGTACCCCTTGTCCCTTTCCTCTCCTATTCCTCTCCACCTCTCTACACCCCTCTCATACACTCATTCTCTTTCACTGCTAAAACACGCAGCATGCACTCACGCATCACACATACACGCACGTCTTGTGTACACACCTTCTCTTGATCGAACTTTTTATATAATATATGCAAGGACTTGTGAGCCTAATGCCGCCGAATAATGGTACAGTCGACTTTTATTATTATTTTTTTTTTTTTTGTAAGTTTAGGTTTTATTCAAAATGAGCTAAGTTTTTTTAACGCGTCGGCTCGTTCAATGTTTTTTTTTTATTTTTATTTTTTTAAATAAATGATTGATGCGATTTTTTGTTCTCCATATATTTATAGAAGGGATACGTATGCAAATGACGATTATAGACGTCAATTTATGAATACAAAATGAGTCGAAAAATGTCGTAATGTTGTAATAAATAGGAATGTCGAGAAAAGCGTAAAAAACTTACCATCGATTATAAATATAAAAAAAAAATAAAGAGAGAGAGAGAGAGAGAGAGAAAAGGCTTCTTCTCCATTTGCATAACTTTGAATTCACGTAATAAAGTCTGATGATTTCTCATTATTATGCAGGTATTGCGCGCTATACGTTTCCGTATCATGTCATTAAAATAGCAGTGAGATGATGCGAACGGAAATTCTTCTTCTGTATTCTTTTTTTTTTATTTTTTTTTTTTTTTTGCATCTCGAGTATCTAGAGGAATAAGAAGGTATTACTCTTTCATCTATGTTTTTCTTTTCGATATTCTTTGGTTTTGGTATAATTCTATAATCGATAGGAGACACGAAGCGAGAAATTTGTTCTATCACGATTGAATGTTAATTATAATCGTTCCAAGAATAACATTAAACATACGAGATAAAGTATTACTCATGACAATGCTATCGGTATTCTTTACGACACGTTTTTTCCATTGGAAATAATTATTAGGATATTAAATAAACAAAAAATATCTAATAATTATGCGAAAGATTAGAAGGAAAATGAAGAAAAATGCATACGCGTGTAGTTGGTGTATGTTTTCGCTTACGCGCGTCTATGTGCATGCTTGCGATTCGTTTTTCATGAAATAAAACTAAAGTAATCGAATTTAAACAAAGCTTAATGCTTCTTATCGAAAGAGTAATTTACTCAATGAGATAGTAATCGTCATAGATTTTTATTAATTTTTATTATTGAATTTTAAAGATGTTTTATCTCATTATCTTTATTACCTTACTTATTCGAAATGAAGTCATTTATTTTAATAGTAACAATATAATTTTTTATCCTAATGAAAAATTATGATTTTTCCACAGCTATGAGAAATTATTTTTATCGATAAAAATTGAAGTACAGATTGCCCTCCTACAACATGGAATTTTTTTACACGGTTTTGCTATAACACGATTCAATTGCGGGAACCCTCTTACAGCACGGCATTCTATAACACGGTTTCCTTTCAAAAAACCTTTGTACAACACTGTACTTTTACAGCCGCGGCGAGGCTTGCCGTCTTAAAGATACAGTGTGGCGGAAAGTATTTCTTTTCATCTTCATGGCCTTAAAACAAAAGTCTCATACAACACGGTGTCACATAACACGGCATTTTCTAGGAACCTATCTACCGTGTTATAGGAGGGTTACCTGTATATCTAAAGAAGAAAAATAGAAAATAAACTTTTTTCCTAAGTTTAATACGAATGTATTAAATATTTTAATTTAAAAACAAAATGAGATTTGTGCCACTTTAAAAATTACAAATCGATAGTTAGTTAAAATGTGAAGAAGTAATCCCATAAAAGTTTAGATTAATTCAGTTTCTTCGTAGAAGTATCGACGTACACGGGATCAAAGGATATGAATAATTTGCTTTAAAGGACGATTAATATAGCGACCTATATTTTTCTTTCTCTTTTCTCGTATCGACGACGATCTTTCGCGATGACCTAAATTTCTCTCTCTCTCCCTCCCTCTTTTTTCCCCTCTTAAACCTTTCATCATTCTACTTCTTTCCGTTTATTCTTTCTTCTATACTCTTTCTCGGAGATAAATTTAAAGGTATGAACAAAAGTGACGATGCTTTTTAAATATTCATATTTTCTCCTAGCAGAAATTATTTAACGTTTAACATTTCGAAAGAATAAATCTAGTTTACGTCTATCACATTGTATCTGTTATATTTAAAAACACATTTTCAATCTTTGACGAGCATATTTACAAATAATTTTTAGTAAAAATATCTCGATACCTGCGATAGTTGACGATAATTTGTTGATATATTTTTTGATAATTTTGTTGTTGTCGTTGTTGTTGTTGTTGAATCATCGATTCTGTTGTAAAAATCTTCAAAGATTTAAAAAAAAAATTTTATTAATTAACAATATACATTTAATGCTTAATGTTACAGGAACTTTCACAATTGACGAAGGAATTAGCAGCAGCTCGTGAAAACATTTTACAGAGAGAAGAAGAAATATCAGAATTGAAAGCAGAACGCAACAACACACGTGTACGTTGATATTATTTATGTTTTAAATTATATAAAATATAAATATTTGTATATGCAATTTATATTAATATTTAATGTCTCGTAGTAAGGTACTGTATTGTTTATAAAAAAAAAAAGAATTAAAACATTATTATCTTGGACGATACATTTATTGATTGTTCAGCTTCTACTAGAACATCTAGAATGTTTGGTTTCTCGACACGAACGATCGCTGAGGATGACGGTCGTAAAACGTCAAGCCGCTGCACAATCGGGCGTGTCGTCAGAAGTTGAAGTACTAAAAGCTTTAAAGAGTTTGTTCGAACATCACAAAGCTTTGGACGAGAAGGTACATAACTTTGTCGTATATTTAAAATATTCGTATTTGTATGTTTTTTGAAGAGAAGGATTTTTTTTTATCGATTCTAATCTTTTTTTTTCTTCCATTTTTTTTCTTATTTCCCTTAATTTTTAGGTACGCGAACGATTGCGTGTAGCTCTTGAAAGGAATACGACCCTCGAAGAGGAACTGGCCCATACCAAAGAAGAGGTACGTCATTTGATTGATCTGTTTGAAAAATTTGTGCCATATTCAACGAGATAAAAAATTAAAATAAATTACAAATACTTTTCTATGCATGTATATGAGAATATAGGAGAGAGTCTCCTAAATTTTTATAGGTCAAGATCTACTTTTGGAAACGTTCATTTCTTTTTTTTTGCAATACTTTCTTAACGAGAACTCTCTTATCGAACGCGAGAATTACTTTATTATTTTAATATTCAACTATTATATACTATATTTTTAATAAAATAGCACGAATTATTTTGGACAATATTTCGCGAAATTCTTTTGATGATTATTTTATTAATTATACGCATTATTAATCGTTTGAATTGCAGCTTCAACAGTATAAAGTAAGTGGAATTACGCCTAAAGCCACCGATGACAAACCTAAAGAAAATGGTCAAACGGATGACGGTCAACAACAAAACAAGGTATGGAACAAACAACGTTTCTTGGTACAACAACATTGCACATTCATATATACACTCGTCACCAAAAAAATTTCACACACACTGCTATATTTCATATCTCGCATTGATCATGTGTACATGGAGGTGTTCGAAATGTTTAAGAGTCATGAATTGCATTTATGGAATATTTCACTACGCATGCTCGTGTTTAGCATAAAAATCCTCTTTCGCCGGCTACTTTGTTTACTCAAAGCAAATGGATTACCTTTTTTGGTATCCTTACAGTTGCACACTGTATTCGAAAGATAAACCTCTTTCTACTTCTACTTCTACTTCTACTTCTACTTCTTCTTCTTCTTCTTCTTCTTCTTCTTCTTCTTCTTCTTCTGTTTCAAATAATCGGCGAATTAGTAGAGGATTATTATTAATGATTTCGGTTTCTTCCTTATCGTTTTCATCTCATTTTTCATCGGTTGTACATTTCTCAAATATGTGAATAATGTGTACGTAGGATTATTGACCTCTTGACAAAACGAAATCATAAAAGTTGAAAAATGTTTAAAAATCTAGAAAGTATAATCTTTATGCAAAAACAATAAAAAGAGTATCGTTTCTCGACTATGACGTTATCGTTTCGAATTTATTATTGGGATTAACGATGATATAATTTTTTACGAAAGAAAAACTTCCTAATTATTTTTACTTACAATTAGTGATATTAAATATTACCATCCTTTCTATGTTCTAATAAATAACTTAATATTTTTAATTTAGTAAAAATGAAATATTTATAAATTTCTAATTCAGTGATAGGTTTATATTAGTTATTTCTTTTTTTTCATCCATCTCTTACTCCTTGCATCCATAAGAATGCATCTTCAGCAGTAGTGCACGGTAGTATTATAGTTCGCGTAGCTGTTATATGTAGATTTTGGGAATTACGCGGCAATGCAGGACAGGCAATGCGAGCGAGGCATTCTGAATGTAGTGTTGTGATCGGGCAGAATGAGACTGAGCAGGCTGAAAGTCAGCAGGAGCCACAGCAGCAGCTTCCACAGCAGCTACAACAACAACAACAGCAACAGCAGCAGTTACAACAGCAACACGCAATACAAAAGCTAGGTACAGAGAAGCCAACAGAGATAGCAAGCAGATTGAGCAATGGCAGTCTTGACCCATCCGACCAGGATTCGGCAGTACGAGTAATAGATTTGCAAGCCACTCTTGATAAACAGGTATGGAACTGTTTTATAGCAAGATGCTAGAAACATTACCGTTATAGAGATTCAGGTAAATCTCTAAATATATCAAATGTTAAATGTATTCGTTACTTTATTACTTACTCTTTTTCTCTATTTATAACAAAGTATATGATATATTCCATAATAAAATGTTATACAGAATTAAAAGCGTTTTAAAAGTATGTTTTGCATGTGTGATTCAATTTCTATTGTAATCTATATTTAATAAATGCATAACGTAATAAATTTTACACACTTATTCGGTACTATGTTTTTCATTCTTTTTCTTGAAAAATAAATATACTTTATCAAATATTATTTTAATTATTAAAATAATATTATACGATCTTTTTTTTTTCTTTAATATATAATAAGTTCTACTTATTAAATTATTTATAACTAAAATGCATGATGTTTCATTTAATAATAAGTTATTTTAAAGATATATGTTAGATATATATCATTGATTATTGTAAGATAAATAACTAAAGATGTAGGGCCTTTAATAAATTCAATTATATTCATTTGTAAATTGGTATATTATATTTTATTATATCATTATAAATAATATAAAATTCAATGTAGTTATATAGGTTTAATTTAATTCAAATCGTTAGAAATAATATTCATTTTTATATTAGATATGATATGCTTTATTAATTTATCAAATTACATAATTCATATAAAACTTTTAATAAAAAATTATATTCGTAATATTTTAATATCATTCAGATAATATATAAAACTTTCAAAGCATTTATTACTATAATATCTTATCTTAAATGAACAATGCCTATGGCACGATGTGGAATGACTGTATATGTCAAGCATATTGTACTTGCATGTTTAGCAATTATATCATAACTGATTTTATTTGAATATTAATTTATTTCAAACAAAATGTATAATTTCTATATGAGTATACTTAACACAGACATTATATACAATTCGGTACACGCTGACTCTTTACTGTAATATATTTATATACATTATTAATTTTGCATTTATTTTGATATAATACAATATAATAGTCTTACAGAAATATATGTTTTCTACAAAATTATTTTCTAAACACTTTTTCGTATATATAAAACTAATACCACATTAACCCGTTTAATTAGACTTATTTTATTATAATTATAATTAAGAACATTTGTTTATCGTTTCAGAGTACTGAATTAAATACATGGCAACGACGTGTAGCGGAATTGAGCGGACGAGTTGCAGAATTAGAAGAAACCCTTTCTAAAACCCAAAAGGATCTTCTTAAAACTCAAGAGATCAATGTTAAGTTGCAAAGAGATCTGTGTGAAAATGTTGCGCAGAAAGAGGACCAAGAAGAAAGGATTGCAACTCTTGAGAAACGTTATCTCAATGCTCAACGGGAATCAACTAGCTTACAGGATCTCAATGAGAAATTAGAACAGGAGCTTCAACATAAGAAGGCTCAATTGAAGGTATTTTAGCGCAGACATTCGATTGAATCTAATCAAATTGGTAATATTTATAAAATAACATTCTTTTAACCCATTATAGCTTCAAGAAGAAAAGATAGCAGCTATACAAGAAAAATTGGAACTTGCAGAACAAAAATTAACTCAATATTCTAAATTACCTGAAATGGAAGAACAATTAAAGCAGAGGATGGAGGCTCTGACCCAGGTGAGGAGGCCCAACCAGGTACGCAGGGGAATCATATAATTGCACTGTCAATTTTCCCTTTTTTATTCCTCTGCACTTTTACTGAAAACTTTCAAATATAAATACATGTCTCTCTCTAGAAAGCTTGTTCTTAATATATCTTGCATCATCAATGCAAAATATTTATATTCTTATATTTTTATTTGACAAACTTTTCGAGTTATCTGTGCTGTGCAACACATATTATATTTAGCTGATCTTTTTTCATTCTTTTTTTTTCTTCTACTTTTCTTTTTTACAATATGCTATTTAAGCAATACTTCATTGTGTTACAAATACACTATTTTTATCAGATGCATTCAATATTAAAAACACTATGAATTCTTTTTTATAGTTTACCTACAAAAAAACTGGTGTACACATACAGAAACACGCTGCTTACCTGGTTGACTAATTTTCTCATTACAAATAACCCACAAACAATCTCAAACATATATAATTCTCTATACATTTATATTTAAAGCTTTGCCATGATTTCATATATGATTCTTGTTACATCACGGAAACAGATTTATTCTTCAAGCACAAATTTGTGTTTTTATAGTGTGCATTCTTCCGCTTCTCTATATTCGTTTCTACTCTAATATTTTTTGGAAAGTAGTTTTCATGTTTATTAGAGATAGATACAGAAAAAAGAGGGAATGGGAGGAAGAATTAGACACTTCTAATTTAAAAAATATTGCATTATAAACTTCACAATTTTGTTTTCAATTTAACGTCTGCAATAATTCTTTCAAATGATTTTGACAAATATGCAATGTTTTCTTTATAATGAACTTGAAAAAAATGAATGGTATTTCGAAACAAAATCTCAAACGTATCGGTCCATTTTTCAAAGATTACTTATAAACATTTAATTTTAACTATATCAAATATCTAATAAGCAGGCTCAGGAGAGGCATGGTAGCGCAGAGGATAGAATACAAAGGTTAGAAGCACAATTAGAAGAGAAAAATGCAGAAGTAATGCGCGTCAATCAACGACTTAAGATGAACGAGGAACATAACACTCGATTGAGCGCAACTGTTGATAAACTTTTATCTGGTAAATAGTAAAATAAACATTGATATCGCATTATATGCAATTTCAAATAATCTAAATGTTTTTTTCTTTTCCTTTTAGAATCTAATGATAGGCTACAAACGCATTTATCAGAAAGAATGAAGGCAATAGACGAAAAGAATGTGATAATGCAGGAACTTGAGAAAACGAGAAAAATAGCTGAAGATTTACAAAATGAAAAAGCAGATATCGTTAAAGAGCTAGGAAAAGCACGTCTTGAAATTGACAATGTAAAGAGACAAATGCTTCAGCAAGAAATTGCTTTCAATATTCAACAAACGGACGCATTGACTAGAAGTCTTTCTCCAAATGCCGCGGATCCTGGTTCATTTTCTAGAAGCGCAAGTCATAGTAGTTTTGACACGCACTCGTTACCTAGAAGAGGAGGGAAAAGAGCTGCAATGGAAGAGGATGCATCGAAGGTGTCATATCGAATATTTTATTTAAATGTTTCTTGAATAAGAATTATATGTAAATTAGGATATAATCCTGTATGTCTTTTATTTTTTTAGAATTACGTAGTACGTACTCTTGCGGAACAAGAATGGGAGAAACTGCAACAAGCTCATGTTCTAGCAAATGTGCAACAAGCATTTGATGTTTCAAGCGATGCAGAAGGTGACGGTGATAATGAAAGTATCTTCAGTTGTTCGGCGGAGGTAATTAGTCCGGCGGGACACACCGATGCTCAAACACTTGCGCTGATGCTGCAAGAACAATTAGACGCCATTAATAATGAGATTAGATTGATTCAGGTAAATAAACTTTTCGCGAAGATTTATATTGAACGTTATTATGTAAATATTATATAGATAATAATACAAACAAGTTTTGTGTAGGAAGAAAAGCAGAACACGGAAGCACGAGCAGAAGAATTAGAATCTCGAGTAGGTAGTTTTGAACATATGAATTTATTAGCAAGAGGACGCAGTCTCGAGCGAGCGTCACCTCCATTAAGCGGTCGCTCTACACCAAAATCACATCATAGCCCTAACAGAGATTATTTACATAAATATCACACAGTGAGCATTTATAGTTTTACATATTTATTTTTAATAAACATTCAATTTTTCTATTATTTTTATATATCTAATGAAATTAAAAGGGTACAGTAAAAACTCATCATTTGTGTAGGCACCAGCATCAATGTCACCTGCTCATTTACATCAGTATGCTGCATCCCTTGCTAGTCCTGGACAACTTTCAGAATCGCTTCCTGCAAGCCAGGTTTATTGCTTATCAGTATTTTAATTGCATTATAAAAGAATAGACATATTTTGCAATATTATAAATTCTTAAGATAATTAAAATAATAAAAGTGGGTGCTTAATGCTTCCTGCCTTTGGCAGTTGCAGTTGTCCGGAGAAGAACTGCACTCGGTGAGTGAAAGAGACAGCGTCGGTGGTGCTGGAAGTGTTAGCAGCGATGCTGCTTCCCCGTTGACGGCCAGATCGCTTAGATTAGAGCGCGTTGTGCAAGCACTTGCTCATAGCCAGGAAGAATTAAGAAGGTATGTATGAGATAAATACATTTCAGAACGTATAATAAATTTTTGAGATAGCTCAAACGAGTTTTTTAAAGAAGAAGAATATAACTACCAATTTTAAAAGATGCATTTTAAACTTTGCAAATTATTCGTATCATAAATTTGTCCATGCTATCAGACGTACTGGACAAACAGGATTTCCCAGCAGCGGCTTTTCCCCGCACAGGTTAATTAAAGTTTCTAATACTGCATGTATTCCATATTATATGCCGCTGTGCACGATATATTTGAGAGACAAATGTGGGCATAAAATAAAAGCCGAAGGAAATTTAATGATGGTAAATTACTTTCCCTGCCAAGAAATCAATTAATTCCGTCAGAAAACTAAAAAATACTGATTGTATGTTTTGTACAAGAGGTATAATATTGTTAAATATAGTGTCCAAGGCATAACGCACATGTCCACAGCCTTAATTTTCGAGCACAGTGGCAACAACGAAGCACCCGATAATTCTGCTAGATATGAGTTCTGGGAAAAAAGTGATAATAACTTTTTCCATCCATCATATACTCAAGCCTATTCATTTCGTGATAGACATCGTTATTTCAAACAGACAAGGGAACTTACGGAATCAAAAGAGTTGCATGCCATGCAAGATATACGTCAGACATCACTGCAAACAAGGTTGTTTTTTTTTAATGCGTATCATGTAATGTCGAATAGATATTTTTACTATGAATATTTCCTTATTAATTCATAATTTGGAGCTATTTATTTAGATATTTGTGTAACAAAAAGATACTTTTTTATAGATAAATATTTATTTATAAATATTTTGTAATTTGTCAATATCTTTGTTAATTCTAATAGGTATTTTATAGCGTGTAATATTTAAATGAAATATTAGAGTAAATGTTATTGACATAATAAACGCTATATACCATCATTAATGCTTATTAGTATTTTTGCCTATTACATTATTGCCTATTATCATTGGCTGTTATTAATTTTAATGCATACAGTACACTGCAATTTACTTGATCTTCGTAAGTTCCCAGAGTATACTATTGTGTTATCAAATGTATAACAAATGATATTAATAATACAATTTAGTTATAGATTTGAGAGTATTGCAAAAAATTAGATGCAATCAGTTTACAGTACTCTATTAATTCTGTGACGTAATTAGTCACGTGTGATTTTTTTTTTTTAACATAATCAATATAATATAACGAACATAACAAATCATATAGAGGAGCACACAAAGAAGTAGAGATGTCTTGTGTGAGCTAGTGTAGTAGCACCGATTAGAGTAGAAATAGAAACTAGATTAGCGCTCCATGCAGCAGGCATGGACAACATAGCAACGGCGCACTCAATTCTGGGACTCCTCCTTCCCCATTGTCCTCACGCCACAGTAGCCAGGACAGTTTACACAAGAACAATCTATCCAGTGTTGGACTACCTATTGGACAATTGTCGAGTTCCCATCTACACATGCAAGCAACCATGAGTCCAGCGACAGCAGCTGCAGTGGCAGCAGCTCAGAAGAAAAAAGGCATAAAGAGTAGTCTTGGCAGATTTTTCAGTAAAAAAGAAAAAGTAAATCTTTTGTTACTTCAGTGCCAACTTTTTTGACTATAGAAATATTTGTTCTAATTATTTTCTTTTTTTTATATCAGATAAAGGGAAAGGATACAACGATGCCCGGAGATGTACCTGGTATGGGAGGTGCAAGTACACCTGCAGATCCCGATTATGGGGATAGCGTTGCCGTGGCAGGAACATTAGGAAGCAAGAGTGATTTTGATCGAAGGAAAAAGAAAAGGTATTTATTTTTTTTATTTTATATACCAGTGTTCAATAGACACAATAATCTAAAAATAATAATAAATAAAAATATAAGACAACGTAAAGAAGATATAAACGATAAGAAAGAAGAAGAAAAAGAGTAGAATTTTCTTTAGTGAAAAGAAAAAAAATTGTTTTTATTTTTATGATTATTGCGATTATTGGCAAATCGGACCTGTTTTAGTCCCAGTATGTTTGGTAGTATGCTGGATTCTTCGCGACATGAGTTACTGGCCGAAGCAATGAAAGCTGGGACACCTTTTGCTCTTTGGAACGGACCAACTGTTGTTGCTTGGTTGGAGCTTTGGGTTGGCATGCCTACCTGGTACGTTGCGGCGTGTCGAGCTAACGTCAAAAGTGGTGCTATAATGAGTGCACTGAGTGACACTGAAATACAACGCGAGATTGGTATTAGGTATATTTTCTCGTTGCTGTTATTACTATTATTAAAAATTATTAAAAGATTAAGATTTGAAATATAATAAATGACATGATTTATAGTAACTCTTTACACCGACTGAAATTGAGGCTAGCCATTCAAGAGATGGTATCACTTACAAGTCCATCCGCGCCTAAAACTTCTCGTACAACTTTAGCTTTTGGAGATATGAATCACGAATGGATTGGAAATGTATGGTTACAGAGTCTTGGATTACCCCAATATCGATCCACTTTCATGGAGTGCCTTGTTGACGCTAGAATGTTGGATCATCTAACTAAAAAGGATTTGCGCGGTCAACTTAGAATGATTGATAGTTTTCATAGGTAAATATGAAAATTTCATAGTGTAAATATACATTCGACCAAAGTATACGTTTTTAATTATTTATTCAAGTTATTAAAAGTAGGAAACAATTGTATAAATGTAATTACCAAAAATTGTTTTGTTTCCATATAGATAAACATATATTGTACAATAATTTTTGTTGCATTTATTTGTTTTACTACAGAACAAGTTTGCAGTACGGAATTTCGTGTTTGAAGAGATTAAATTATGATAGACCACAATTAGAAGAAAGGAGACGATTGGCGGAAGGAACTAACGCAGATGTTCTTGTGTGGAGTAACGATCAAGTTATACGATGGGTGCAATCAATTGGTCTAAAGGTGTGCGATTAAATTCAATTATTAAAAAGATAATAACGCTAAAAAATGACAAATAATTTATCTGTATCCTTTATGACAGGAATATGGAAACCATCTATTAGAATCTGGGGTTCACGGTGCCCTAATTGCTTTAGATGAAAGTTTTGATGCAAATAGTTTTGCTCTTACTTTGCAAATTCCTACACAGAATACACAGGTCTGTATTAAATACTTTATTATATAGGATATATTATATATAAATATATTATGAATCATATCATAATTTATGATATAATATAACAATAACTTCGCACATATTTATCACATTTATTATCGTTACAGGCAAGGCAACTTTTAGAAATGGAATTTGAAAATTTATTAAGGGTAGGAACAGAGAGGCGAGTGGACGATTCTAATATGAAATCCTGATCCAACAGATTGCCCCATCTTCAACCCCATCATGTCTAGTCGAGAACCCCAGCTATTACTACTGTCTGTACGCAAGTGTGTTGTAAAAGTTGTAAGAGCTTTAAGTATCAACCTAAAGATATCTTCGTACTGTTACGCCATGTGGCACGCGGTAATAATAATGATATTATACATAGATGCATGAACGTAAAATTGCAACGTAAAGAAAAAACGATTGTATTTATTGTACGTTCAAAACCGATCTCTTTAAAATGTTTCCTTCATTTCTATGATCGCACATTTTGATGACGATCCGCGTGCCATATACTTTGACAAGAAATACCTACGCGTAAATTATTTTCTTATAGATACCGAAATGTAGGAGGTGGTCATGTGTCGCATCTGCATTCAAAGGAATTGCAGTATATATCTCCTCGAAGGCCAAACAATATGAGTTGAATACAATCACGACAATAAATCCGCCTCGTTTGACTTGTTATGTTTTTACGGGTAACAGATCAATTGTAGTTTAGTAATATATTGTTACATGGCACTCCTCTAGATATTCAACCACAGCTATTGCACTCTTCTTGTATTATAACTCGTGTACTTATATAATAATTCTGCATATAAAAAAGAACGGCTTATGTGTCGTTGTAACTAGCACAAAATGAACAATTAAAAAGAAAGAAAAAAATCTAAGAAATTTTACAATGATGCAGTAATATACACTCGGGGAATCGTTAATATTTTATATACAAAGAAACGGGGACTGCGTTCTATGTTTCTGTGTCTGTAAGAGGACAATGATGAGCTAACAAAGTTTACTTTATGTATTTTACTTTTTTCACAAGCAGAACTTTAGAGTACTCATTTGTTTCTGTTTTCTTATTTTGACGAATTTTGAATGTGTAGAGTCACACACACACATATATGTGTATATATATATACATATATACGCATTATATATACATTACATATGTGTATATTATATTATATTATATTTATTATATACATACATATATATAAAAAATAATATATAATTATATATATATAATATAATTAAAAAACACACGAAGTATTATAAATGAAAATTAGCAAGCAATTATTGCGGATACGAAAAGAAGATCTTATCGAAAGAATAAATGCAATTACATAGCGAGTTTAAGAAGCTAGCCTGTTAAGAAAGACTCTTATGAACAGACATTTTATACCAAAATATGTGCGCAATGTATAGCTAAGTGTTTAAAACGTTATTAGGTATCCAAATATGAGACGACATTTAATGTTAATTTATAATTGTTCTACTTACGAATCGTATGATATCCGCTTTCAGGTGCATACCAGTAATAAAATTGTGCATATATACCAGTAAAAAATTATCGTAATGAAGAAGCAATTGTATCTTGATTTTTTGATGCTTTACAATGAAATTTTATTTAATTTGATTTTATTTATTTAAGTCGCGTGACTAAACCTTTCGAACATTTTCTTTTACTACTATTAATTCTATTATCTATATTACTACTATTACTACTACTAATACTATAACTATACTATTACTATCATTATTATTACTACTACTACTATTACTACTATTATTACTATTACTACACTACAACTACTATTACCACCACCACTACTACTACTACTACTACTACTACTACTACTACTATTATTATTACTACTACTACTACTACTACTACTACTACTACTACTACTACTACTACTACTACTACTACTACTACGTGTTTCATCGGTAGCAAAAGGATCCACGATGCAAGCATAATTACATACATAATAAAAAGAGATTTAGATGAAATATACGGAGTTAATGGCAGTATAAACTATATAGCGACAGTGCTAGTGAAATTGCTAATAACGGTAATAATGCAGAAGACAATGATTGCAACGGTAACAATAAGTATCAATAAAACAATTAAGATGCTTAAAAAGAGGGTAGCAAAAAAAGACTGAGAGACAAAGACAGCGACTGTAATAAAATGATAAACCGATATCATGATAAAGACGATCACAATGATTGACAAGTTATAATGGTAATGTTGTTAAAATGCTGTTGATAATTGAGGAATCGTTGTTAATGTTTGTTTCCCTGTGAAGTATCCCATGCAAGCTGTTCATTCGTTGTAGTTTCATAGCTCTGCACACGATCTTCCGAAGGGGCGTTCACGTTTATCAAATAATTTCTGCCAAAGACGTGTGTGACGCGATGTTTTTTATAATAATTAAATATGAGCGCGCTGCTTAAGAATGGCAGTGGTCCCCCTCCCCTTACCCCCAATTGCGTGCAGATGCGTAAATGTTATACACACGTTTTTTGTACGTATAATTGTACAGATTTATTGCGCATCGCTATGTTGTCTTTTCTTTTAGCATTACCAGTCAATTCATCCAAATCTATAACGATGAAAAGGACTCGCTAAAGCCAAAGCAAATGCTATGCTACCTCTGTGCTAAAGTGCTTTGGTAGTATTTTTCTTTTCTTTCCTTTCCTTGTTTATTTCTTTTTTCTTTTTAAATGACGCAGTTTTATTTTTGATCGAAAAATTACTACAATAGATTATTAAATAACGTACCGGATTAGTATTGTTTAGATTTTTAATTAATTTATTAAATAATATGATAGAAAGATTTTCTATCGAAGTTTCTTCGTGTCTGTCTGTGTATGTATATATATACCACTTTACTCGTACAATAATTATCTTGTTATTTGCAGAATTTATAAAGTATTTTATTAAATTCTTATCGCTCTAAAATTAACTAGCTTTGGTTTTGATTGCAAAGAAAAATATTTAAAGAGAGAAAGAGAGGGAGAGAGAGAGAGAGGAGGGAGAAAGAGAGAGAGCATCTTTATCAAAGCAACGTAATTACATTTATTGTTACGGAATATATTAAGAGAGTGTATATAGACTTAATTTATATAAACAATACAGTCGTAAAATTGATAATTTGCACCTTTAAAAAGAACATGGCCGTCTCTCCCTTTCGGAAGAGTTGCAGCAGTACTTGTAAATGACTGAACTTATTTGTAATGTATGCTAGTTAATAATGAACTATTTATAGACATTCCAACGCGAGGACCTTCCAAAAGCAACCATTCGTAATCCCATATGTATATGTACATCATGGATCAGTATGTAGCAGCTTTGACGCCTTCAATGTATCTAAGTATAAATATACACGTAGATACGAGGAAAACGTTTCTCAACCCAACCTCCGACTGATTGATGTCGAATGGAGCTTGCTTAAAATTGGAAGCATTATTGAATATTTAAAAAAACAATCATATTAGGGATTGATTCAATTTATAAAAATGTTTTTACCGAGAATCTCACATATTTTATTGTATTTTTTAATTTCTATTAATTACATTAAATACTCTTTGTTCATATATATATATATATATACACACACACAAAATGTTTATACATAATGAGCAACTATTTCTCATTTATGTAGACTTTGAAATTAATGTAATATGATATAAATGTTATATTTTATTAAATTATTTATATAATAAATATTTCAATATCGTTCTGTTAAAAATGAAAATATTCCGAGATTTTCGGTAAAAGCGCGAAACTTTGTGTTTTTCGTCTATCGATATATACATATCATGTGGTTATTTATAATAGATGCGATGACGAATTTGATATATTACATCTTGCATATTTAATTACTCATCTTTTTGATTTATCATTTATATTTTGATTTTTTTACATCAATTTGGACAACAATGAACGTGTCAGTAGAAACGCATATGCATATGTTCATAGATAAATTTGTGGTGTAATAATTATCTGTATTCTAATGTTATACGTATTACTTCCATATATATTATATTTTTTTTGTTATATATTCTCTTCCCTTATGCTCTCGATTCGGCCAAACTGACGGAAGGGCAAAACGACTTTTGTACAACACACGTCGCAAATAACGGCTAAATTTGATCAATTGTACATATAATTGTGTGCGTGTGTATATGCGCTCGATGCGTATGCCTGTGTTCTTTCGTGTATGTGTGTGCGTGTGTGTATATATACAAACCTTATCCTGTGTACATATATAATATGAATTATTTATTAACGAGAATCTGTAAGTTTGAGCATTTCATAATGTGTCATGTGTAGTGAAAATTATGTCATTGCATTACAACCAGATATGTATCATTAAATGTTTCATTTATTTACTTTAGACACATTTATTTGTTAATTAATTTTCAGTATTAAATAAGAAAAGACGATGACGCAGATTACGGCGTTAACAGATAAAATATTTATGGATGAAACAAAAAAAAGAAGAATATTTTATTATTTGTTTGTCTTTGAGTAAAATTAATTATTATTTGCATAAATCATAAGAAAAGAATATACTTAAATGCTGTTTTTTACGCGTATATATATTAACGTTAATAACCAATATTTTAAACAGTATACAATAATATTGATAATGAAATTCTAAAATTCTATATTCAAATGGTTTTTTTTTTACGTAATATTTTTTAGCCATTATTTTCATGTTATTATTATCCTATTAAAATTTAATTAAATGTACGGACATTGTTGGAATAAAATAAACTACGCCTGATAATAATAATTTTGTAATAAGAGATCTAGGGTAGTAACTTATTAATGCTATTCATTTACAATTATTTTCTGTTTCATTCTAACCGATATATAAATAATCCTAGTTTTATCTTACACATAAAGACAAAATGATTAAGTTTAAATAGTAATTTATTGTAGAATATAATTTACAAAACGATGCACAGATTTCGATATACTCATTGATATTTCATTGGGATAAATATAAATGCTACAAAGTATTTTTTTGTACTCTGTGTTTTTATGTGACAAGAATTGTTATCAAACATTTGTATACCGATTCTTTGATTAGTCAAACGAATCAATTAATTTAAAAAAAGAAATTATCTAAATGTGAAGTAGTATGAACATTGATCAATTTGTATGTTGTATATAAAGAGAATACTTTGAAAATACTTGTTAATCGTTTAAAAACGTACGCCGTGAAATTAAATCATTTGCTTGATCTCATTTATTTCTTGATTATTTTAATGATTTCATTGCAAAGATTTTAATGAAGTGGATTTATGTAAATCGTGCAGAAAATAAGATTCCTGTTATGATGACATTGAAATTTATTGATGTAGATTTATAGCTGCATCGCGCATAAAAAAAAAACGCTTCATTCGAATATATCGACAAATAATTTCTTTGAAATTAAGAATAATATTAATAACGATTATAATGATAATAATTTACTACTTCACATTTTGTACAGTCAATGTAACATAGCATGTTTTCTGGTAAATGTGCAAAGCATTTTCCAGTTGTGATGTTAACACTATAGATTTCACAAAGTAAAAAAAGGAGGAGGGATGCTGTAATTATAACAAATTAAGTAGTATGAAATTTGTGTCACGTTGTATTTGTTATGAAAAAAAGTCATCCACAGTATTAAAAAAGAAAAAAAGAAAAAAAACATGTATCGCTGTTAGAGTATGGACAAGCATTTGTCTAAATGTGTTGACGACGCTAGATAAAAAAATTAAAAAAAAATAATAAAATTACAAAAGCAAACATAAAATAGATAAAAGAGGCACAAACTGTAAAAAAAAGAAAAGATTCATATGAAAAAAAATGAATGCAACTAGAAACGATGAAGATTACATAAAGAACTTTATGGAAGAATTATGTGTAAAAAGATGAATAAGAAATTAATTCCTAATTATCAGATTATAATGATTATAATAATAATAATAATAATCTTAATATCGTAGTTATTGCTAAAGCTGTTACTATTACTAATATTACTACCATTGCTGCTACTGCTACTGCTATTAATTATTATTATTATTACTATCCGAGTATTATTAAAGTTATCGCTGCTATTATTATTATTATTTTATTATTATTATTATCATTATGATTATTATTGTTACACATTTATCATTAATATTACTAGAATTATAAATTGTCCTTGTAATTTTTCTATGCCAAGTGTATACTTTAAATAAGATAATAGTGTAAAATGTGGAAACGAATCCTCATACACAAACATAAATATGCACTTTTTCAAAAAAGAAAAGAGCATTGAAGTAACTACGTTAACTAAACTATGAATTATAAATATTGTATAAGACGGTAAATATAATAATTATTATTATTATCATAATTACAGATACCATTACTCAAATAAGTTAACTCTTTAATCCATTTGTTAACAAATTTACGAATCCGATTTTTTATTTGTATAGAAGAAAGTCAGCATATATTTGTTTTTTTTATAATTTTCTATTGACATCATTTCTTTATTAATCTTCATCAAGGAAAGACAATTTATAAACAAAATTGGAAGTTTGCATATACATATTACAAAAAAGAAGACAAAGTATTTTTCAATATTCATTAACGATTGTCCTTTAAAACGATAGAAAATAATATTAGAACATCCAACTCCTCGCAGATGCATCATGGAAAAAAAATTGAATATATTTTCCGTTTTTATACCTAAAAAAAGATCATCTTAAGTATATACTACAATCTTAAATAGTACATACCTCTAGACTCATAATCGTGACTTAAAACAATTTTAAAATCACACTTCAAACATAATTTTAATCCCTTAATTACTTGAAAACTTGAAAACTTTTTACTCGAACTAAGCGCGCTATCGTAAGTTTAAAATCCTACGATTACGTCACGAGTACCTATCCTACTCTATGAACTTGGAGAGCGTCATAAATGTTAGGTGGTGTAAATAGTGGGGATAGGAGGAACAAATTTGTCCACGCCCCTCTTTAATAATAATCTTTATTTCAGATAACTATATCTATATTAACATACAGAAAGATAAGATAAATTGAGAAAAGGGCTATTCTTCCAATTCATGAAAATCATTTTAAACACAAACTACAAATGTATATTTTAAAATATAATCTTTGTCAAATAAACCAGTCAAGATCATTTCGAACATTAAACTTAAGAACAAGCTATGAATACAACCCATTTTATCTTATTCGATCTTAATATATTTTATAGATAATATTAGAAAATATATTCTTTTATATTTTGTTTATATTATAAATTTGAAACAAGTTTCTGTGTTTCAAAATAATGACAGTTACGTTATTACTCTCCAATAACATGTGAAGTATTAGAGATGAACATCTCTTCCAAGTTCACGAAAATAACAAGAGATCAAAATGTTCGATATTTTCTTTCCTGGAACTTTATGTTTTATACTAATATCGGTTATTTTCACTGTAAAATCTGAAAACTATGACTTTTGCCCAAAATCCGATGAAATTATGAGATCCGAGGAAAATTGTGGAAATTTTGAAAATTTATCGAACAAACGGTTGGAGGTTATTAACGATACGATGGTGGGCTGAAAAGTTTTGAACTTCAACTAAAAAGAAACTCATTATACTAACAATTGTTTCTATGTTAGGATCTAAACTTTTCAGCCTATCTATGATATTATTATTATTATTGATAGATATTTTTATTTATAAAAATATTCTTTGTTTTTCATTTATTATTTAGCTATATATTATACGATGTTAATCCTCCTGAAGGTTTCAATCTAAGAAGAGACGTATACGTTCGTGTTGCTGTTTTTATAAAGAATTTAAGTAAAAAGGATAAAAAATACGATTGGCATTTAGTTCTACCACCTTGGGGTAATATATTTTTTCTATTTGTTTTTAATATTAATTAATTAATCATTAATTTTTATAATGGACTATACAGGTGATTTGTATCATTGGCGAAGCAAAGACGTAGGTCCACAAGTATCGTTGCCATGGGGTTTGTTTTTTGATATTGCAAGTTTACAAAAATATGCTCCTGTTATTGAAATGTACAAATTCTTCGAAGGTAATTTTTACTATTTACTATAATATTCACATTTAAAACATAATTAAATATTTATTAATTACAGAATATTTTTCGAATAATAAAAAGACACAGTTGGATATTGTGTATAATTTACAAAACGACGAAGAAATGTTTAAAACCGGTTTATTCGATGATAAGAATAAAGAAACGGAGTGTTCTTCCAAACTTATACGTTATAGACAATTGAAAGAAGAGTATATTGGTTACTTTTGGAATTTTTCTAATGTCACTAGTAAACAAGTGAAATGTATTTTGTTTCATGGAACGACGTCGAATCTCAAAGTTAATCTTAATCCTTCTCTTTATAGGTCAGGTGATGCGCTTGAAAGAGTTGAATCATTGTTAAAATACTTATCAAAATATCTAACAAAATATATTTGTTTTCTTTAGATCTGTCATGTTTGATCATATGGAAATACCTTTGCACGATTCTTATGGTTCTAAAGATTACTGGAAGGCAAGACGTAGTATGCGTTACAATTCTGAGCTTTACCACATTGCGTCTGACTTCAGAGCAAAATATTTAAATTCTACAGATAAAAATGACAATACCGAACGCCCTCTCGATTGGACCAAAGAAAAAGTTTGTTAATTTAAATATATATTTGATACACTTAATAAATTAATTCATGCATACATACTATTCAATTTTACAGAACTCTCTTATACTTTCCTAAGTATATCTAAATTTTAGAAAAAAAGAAATGCAATTGGTGGTCCGTACTTGTCAGTTCATTTGAGAAGACGCGATTTTCTTGTCGGCCGGACAAAATCAGTGCCAACGATAAAAGGAGCCGCGTTTCAGTTGGCAAACAAAATGAAAGAATACGGATTGGAACTTTTATTTGTAGCTACTGATGCAGATGAACAAGGTCGAACAAAAAAATAATTTTCAATCAGGATTTTCTATGTACTTTGTAAAAATATAAACGTATGAACGTATAATTGCATACATTTTTACAGAAATTGCTGAACTTAAGTCATACTTACCACAATATAGATTTTTAAATTATGTGCCATCAAATGATGTTAAAAGAAAGTTTAAGGATGGTGGTATTGCAATTATAGATCAAATAATTTGCTCATACGCTAGGCAAGTACATTCGCTTGATTTTAAAGTATATACTTATAAATTAAAGATTATTTTTAACAGGTACTTTATTGGAACACACGAGTCAACTTTTACATTTAGGATACAAGAGGACAGAGAGATTATTGGATTTCCTCCAGAGAGAACTTTCAATCGATTGTGTAAAACTAAAGAGAAGTGTTCATCTGGCGAACGCTGGGAAATAGCATGGTAATGTGATTTCAGGAAGTGTTGATTATTGTAATTTTTTAAGAACTCGAATCTTGATACATTTTTAAAAATATTTTACTATTAATATTAAATAAATATACAAATGCATAATATTTCTATATTTTATATTATATACCTTTTCATATATTTAATAAGTGTCCTAAGTAAACTGTTTGATAGGTCTTTACAGATGCTAAATTTTATTGAGATGTTGTAGGCTTACCGATTAATTCTTGTTCTCTACGAAGCTCTTGTTCTCTTTGTTGTTCTCTACCGAGAGCTTCCTTTTGTTTAATTTGTTGCAAGCGTAATGCCCGTTTCTGTAGTGTAAATATTTATCTTGAGTGAAGATACTTACATAAAAAAAAAATAATAAAAACTTACTTTTAACTTATATGTCCTATCGTGTACTGTGATCATTTCCTTTTTAATATTTGTTAATTTTCCTTGATACAATTTGATGGTAGCAAACTGAAAATGCATTTAGATATAACAAATTTTTCTAAAATCAAAAGACAAGATCAATGTTTACCATGTCGTTTAAATCCACATCTTCGATGACATCTTTAAATTTCTTATTATCATTTTGTATTTGATCAAGTAAAACTTCTTGCTTGTTTCTAAAGGTTGAAATAATATTTTATAATTAATATCACATCAATAAGGAAAGTCAGAATTTGCCCTTACGTCAGTTCGTTCAGGTTTTCCTTGACTTTTTCCAATGATGGTTGATAAATAGATAATATTCCAGTGGACAATTTTTCAGTAGCTTTGGAAAAGTCTACTATATTTTCAATACTGAAATATAAAAAATAAGAAATTGTAATACGATAATATTTTTTTTACTTTATTGTAAATAATAATAATATTATATACGTATATTATTATACGTACATATAATGTAAAAAATAAATAATATTTTATTATAAACAAAATCTAAATAGATTTTATTTATAAATGTTGGATAAACAAATATGCTTAGGTGTAAATAAAAAAGTGAGGTTATCACCATACCTGTCATTTTGTGATTGAACTTTGGTCACTTCGGCTTCATCTATATCTACCATCATCTTTTATAATTTAATATTAATTGTTTTATTTCTAAATACATATATCACATATTAAAAAGTTTAAAAAAGTTAGATTGCTCATTTGTACTTTGACGTTCGATTCTAAATCAGCTGATTCCTCCCACGTGTTCATACGTAATAAGTTTTTATACAGTTTGTTCTTATTTGCTTTCATTTTGTCATGGTCAAACTTAATCTAAAATTTTCTAAATAAATATATTATTTTATACGACATATCATATACTAATAGATAAACATAATAATAACAATGTACGATGTTATTATTTTTTTATATAAGAACATTAACCAAATTGTTTATATTGTTAAATGTATGAATTATTATTATTATTATTATTATTATTACTAGATGTGATTTAATAGAAAGAATTATTCATATTTAAAAAATGTTTAATAACATTTTTTTCTTATTTTTACTTATAGAATATAGTTGTAAAATTCTATGGAAAAAAAACTGGATCATCTTGTATATATAAAAACAAATTTATTTATTGTCTTTATTACATCATATTACAAAATATCTTAGATTTCTCCATTTTGGAGTACGTATATCTGTAAATTTAAGCATTCCGTTTTAACCGTCTTCAGAGGTAATAATTTTTTATTAATCATTTCTCTACTTTCATCGTCAACAATCCAAGGGAAATCTTCGCATAACGGATTTTCACTGAGAGATACATGGGCAGTTTCATACGTTTGAATTTCTATAGAAAATGATGCATTTTTTGGAAGGGGTTTTAAATACGTTTCACATATGGATAATTTTAAACAGATCGTTCTCAAAGCTTCTTCAGTTTTAAGATAGTATGGATCAATTCTGTAATCAAATTTTAACATTGTAAACTTATAGAAAACCTTAATTTATATTGTGTTAGGTAAAGGAAATTAATGAAGAGTCATACTCAATTCCTTGCGCCTGTAACTTGACAAAGTCAAAAACGAACTTTTCAATGGGTGTTCTATTTTCATTAAAAACAACAAGGTTTACAGCTTTGACGCTGTTTTCATCTTCTTTAAGTAATTCTTTAATAGCAGTTAAAACATTTCTCAAGTATTCATTAAGTTCTGGCTGTTCTGAGACATGGACCACTGCGCCATAAATTTTTTTCTTAACAAAGGTTTCTTTTGGATATAATTTTCTATAGTAAAGTATATGATTAAACGCAACTTCTAAGAATTCTAAGAGAATATCGCTGGTGACTGAAAAATAATAGAATTATTATAATTCATCATTCATCAATTTAAATATCTCAATTTCCCTAACCTATTTTAACTTGTGACATTGTATTTTAATTTAAGAGTGAAAGGAATTAGACAAGTCAAGTTACTCGCACTTAATCGTAGAAGAAACAAGTCTCAATATTATGCATTCCAGAAAAGAAAAGCAAGTAAGGAAAAAGAAAAAAAGTAAAGTTAGAATCTTTCCAAGTCGTTCGTTGTTGCGCCTTAAGCTGACAGTGATGTAGGAGAAAATCATAAACCGGTGTGTAACCATTACGTAATTCATTTTTTATGCATTGTTCCTGCAATATTCAGCACATATCTAAAGCATAATATGACGATACAATTAATTGCATCCCATTTAGAAATTATTTTCGAACATTCTCAATTTTTCGTTGATGATGTCTTTAGTTTTCTGAATATGAATCGAATATTTACAATTAGTATATACAGTCGAGGGCAAAAGTAAGTTGCAAATAAATATGTTTACATATTACATATTACATATATTTCGCGATGAAATAAATAATTAAATAACTAAATAAGATTGAAGTGCATAATAATGGCAGTATTTTAAGAAAACTTTATCGATAACCATCTCTAATGTCCATTTATTTTTGTTCTTGACTGTACATGCCATACGCACAAGCCACATATTCACATTTCCATACACATGCATTTGATAATAGAGCGCGAGAAAAGAAAATAATTTAACTTCAATGATCGAAATAAATGGACGTAATTGTAATTAAACAGTTCAAAGATTTATAAACGATTAATAATATTAGAAATAGTCAATTAAAAAAATAACGAGATTAATTAATAAATCGATTATGATTTAGCGATTGATTCGATGCGCGCCTCGATGCAATCTGATTGCATATGGTGGCGAATGATGGCGAATGGTAGTAGTGGCGGGTGAACGCGGACAATAGAGAAAGAGAGAGAGAGAGAGAGAGAGAGAGAGAGAGAGAGAGAGAAAAAGAAAGAGAGTGAGCGAGTGAGAAAGAGTGAGAGAGGGGTGAAAGTGAGAGAGAAGCACGGTGTTGCGGCGGTGTGTTTTGATAAAGTGATCTTTCGAATTTTCCTATTGTGTAAAATATAACGATAGAGAAAGAAGATCGCGAGATATCGCGTATCACTGTGCGCTGTGTGCGCTGATCTGTGCGCTAGATTGCGCATCGTGATCCATTGATTCTTGGTACGGATCGCTTTATCATGATATAAAAGGTATACACGGCGGCATTTTTCCTAACCTCCAAGCATCTTTCCACGAAGGCTCGTTACGTGGAACGATGTATATCTCGCGAGTATACGTTTGTGCATTTTATTCGCGACCTGTCTTTTGTTTCCCCATTACGTATAATTCGATATTAACTATCTTCATTTATTTATATTTATCTTCGATTATTTCATTTCGAAAATTGTACATCATTGGTCGGTAGTTGTGGATGATATTTCAAATGTTATTCATCTTTTTCGTCTACGATCGATCGCCCTATTTAATTTTTTACTTTATTTCATTTCATTTCTTTTGCACTATGAGTCATTTTTGTCTTTATCTATTGGGTAATTTGTTATTTCGTTATGGCGCGAAAATTAACGAATGATACTTCTAATGGGTAACGTGCTAGAATTAACGTGTTTCCGTCTTCGGGATGTTTCCAAAGCATGGACGGTTCTTCCCGAAGTAGAAATATATAATGTAATCATTCTTACAATATCTTTTATTAAAGCAACAAGAAATATAAAATATCGATATTAACCAATTAAGTACTACACAGTGCGATCATGCTGTTTAGATTTCATGTTGACAAATTCTATCGACAATTGACTGTGTGCTCAGAATCTAATGAAATAATGCATTCAACTTTACTTCATATTAGATTTTTCTTATTTGATTATTTATTTTACTTTATCTTTTTAGGAGAAAATGGCACCCCCAAAGAAAACTGATTTGGATAAATTAGCATGGTCTTGGATCGAAGCTGTTACACCTGAAGAAATAGAGAGAATACATTTAGAAACTGCTTATAGATTAGGTCTCAAAGGTTGCAGAAATTGCAAGTAAGATGCTTATTGATATAATACTTCAATCTTTTAAGATCGCTTTTTAATGTTTCTCAATATTAATCTCAATATTTCATTGATTTTTTATCGCAGACGGAATTGTACAAATAATCCGCAATGTCTCACTGGATTAGGAGAAGAAAAGTATATCAAGTCCCAACCAATGGAAATTGTTTCCTTGGAAAGTTCTCTGTCTGAGCTTCGTGATCCTACTCAATATGTCGGTTTGAAAAATCTAGGAGCGACGTGTTATGTCAACAGTTTAATTCAAATGTGGTTCCACAATGAGGATATGAGGTATCATAATAACCGTACAATTTGTGTAGATTTCTTAAGCATACTTTGTATGTGAATATGATGTTTAATAGAATCTTTATTACAGAAGAATAATATACAAGTGGAATATAACGGAAGACCCAGAGGAGAAGGAAGCGTTGTATCAAGCGAAGAAGGCAGGACTTTCTTATCATCCGGTAACAGCAGTTGGTCAGTTGCAATACATATTTGCCATGATGCAATTTGGAAACAGACGTCTACTCGATCCAATGAATCTTGCCATCGTCCTCTCTTTGGATACTAGAACACAACAGGATGCGCAGGAGTTCTCCAAGCTGTTGTTGTGCCATATTGAAGGAAAGCTACAGCAAAACTCAGAGTTGCAGCGGATGTTGCGGAGGCTGTCACAGGGAAAATACAGCTATATCAATTGGTGGGTTTTCTGAAGTGGAAAACAATGAGAATTGTCCTAAACGATGATGATGCAGATGATCTTGACGATGAGAACATGGTAGGACACGTTGCTCGCTACGGTGACTGGTGCGATCAACTGATCTGACCGAAAGAAACGTGTGTCGTGTAAATAAGAGCTACTATTTTTGTTGAATATAGTTGCTCCACCTGCGGTACCGAGTATCCAACGTCGACCACTTTCTACGAATTGGACTTGCAGCTTGCAGCTACTTTGAAGGAAGCTATAGAAAAATATCTGACTGAAGAACAATTGAATGGACCAAATCAATACCATTGCGTTACCTGTAATGACAAAAAGGATGCTAGACGATTCATACGCTTGGAATTGCTACCAGAAACTTTGAACATTCAATTGATGCGTTTTGTTTTTCATCGGTGAGTCTCTATACTCCTATTACATTTTTATTAAATTTTTATTATGTTTGGTGTTAATTCACTTTTGTCTATATAGGGATTCTGGTCAAAAAAGAAAGCTGAATTCTTTCATTCATTTTCCGGAAGATTTGGATATGTCCGAATACGTCAGGTGTCCTCCTCAGACTCATTTGTACAGTCTCGTCGCAGTTTTAAGTCATAAAGGACCTTCGGCTCATTCGGGTCATTACATTGCGAACATATGTAATTCGGCAGGAGAATGGTATCAATTTAGTGACGATAAAGTTGAAAAAATGCAGAATAAAAGGATCGAGGATAGTGGCAATGGTGAGAATTTTATTGCAACATCCTTATATCAAACATATATTTGTAAGACAAATAATCAAATATAAATTTCGTGTTTTTCTTACCTTTACAGATTCTACAAAAAATATGAAACGTGGTCGCGTACCAAAAGGATTTCTTTCGTCTAACACAGCGTATATGTTGGTGTATAAGAAATTAACAAGCGAACCAAAATTAGGTAATGGAAAAAAATGTAAAATCAAGAGAATGGATTCCGAGTGCAATAGTTATGGCGATTCCGTTAGTTTGGAAAGACTTACTGTTAAGGACAGATCCGATTCATCGGATGAAGGAAAACGTAAGAATGGAACTGACGACGATTTCAAGGATGTCGAAAGTCCAGGAAAAATTATGAAAATTGAAATCGATTGCAAAATGGAAGTGGATAGTTTTGTATCTGGGAAAAATGATAATTCCGATGTCGCTAAGGATGACAAAAATCATGTGGAGCAGACAAAGAAAGTTATCGCAAAAAATACAAAACTCGATTACAAATTATTAAACGGTGCAGCGCATAGAGCAATGAGCTGTGGAGAACGTGATTTTTATGAAGAGGTATGTATATCATTTTTCTCAAGATTTTTTACTATTATATTATATGTTCGTCCGATAATGTGTTATAGATTGAATTTGATAATTGGCAAGTGAGCAATACGATGAGGGAACTCGTTCGTCAAGAAAACGTTAAACACGAGTTAAGTTTACTAGCAATTCAGCAAGAAAAAGTAAGTCAATTTTTATTTGCAATTATCGAATCCTGCAATAACTATTTTTAATATATTTTAAACATGGAGTCGAATTTAATTTATTTTTAGCAAAAGGAAATAGAAGATCAGAATTTTAAAAGGCAACTTGTAATAGATGTGTACGATATCATCGGAAATCTGATGTCCCCCATAGAATATCAATGGATACCGATCGATTGGTTATCAAAATGGTTAAATGGACAATCATCAACTGATGGCGTTCCACCGATAGATAATTCGGTTCTGATGTGTCCTCATTATCGTTTAGATCCGTTAAAAGTTAATCGTGCCAAATGTTTGCCTACTTCGGCGGCTAATCTACTGTACGATAAGTATCGTGGAGGACCACGTTTGGATCAGAATACTTTGTGCGAAGTTTGTGTTAGAAGGCGTTTTAAAATGCTCAGATTCAAAATGGTGTTGGAACGCGATTACAAGGAAGTCAACGATATGATACGTAATGTTAAAGAATCGTTAGTATTTCTTCTTCATTTATCCTAAACATTTTTTTTTCATTTTTCATAATTCCAAGTAAAAAAATCTACGTTTATATAATATTTATTCTTTTTCATAGAAGCGAGAAGAGTTATATAGTTGGTGCAGATTCTTTAAGATCTTGGAGGAGACTGGCCATGGAAAGATTTACCGAAAATATGGAACAAGAAATAGAACGGGAAGATCGTGAAAATTCTCGATTGATCGACGATGAGAAGAAAAAAACTATCGAGAAGGATAACGACGATTGCACGAAAGAAGTCGAAGAGGGCGAAGAGAACGAAGTTGTTTTAAATTTTAATGATGACTTACTTTGTGAACATAGTCTATTGAATACTCCAGATTCCAGTAGGAAAATAGTACCGAACGAAGTTTGGTCGATATTAAGGAAATATTTTCCAAATGCGAAAGAATATCCATTTGGTACTTCGTCCTGTTCGATTTGCGAAGTATGCTTGCCTTTTGATAAACAAATTTTCTGTAATCTATAATTTTTTACAGCATTTCTTTCAACGAAACTTGTTTGCTTTTTTACATGTATATCAGGAGAAAATGGAAAATGCACAAAAGGCAAAAAAGGATGACAAGATAAAAGCTAAGCAACAAAAGGATGAGCTCATCGATTTGTATTATGCAAGAAATAGGAACGAGATTGCTAAATGCGAAGATACTGAGAAACTGTTTTACATTGTAGAGAAAGGATTTTTGGACAGTTGGCGTTCTTTTATTCGGTGAGTAATAAAAAATTGATTAAATAATCGCGAGTAAACATTTTTTAGGACATTTTTAAGTTTATTATTACTATTTTTTTTCGTGAGATTATGTATATTAGACGTTGTACGTATTTAAAATTTCCTTTATTTTAGCAACTATTTTTATGACCCTGAATTTATCCTTTCTTTAACTATCATAAATTCACGGATATATACCATACGCTTAGTTTTGCCAAGTTTGTTTTGAATGAATTTGTGAGTGACCAGGGATATTTTACTTGCCCCATACGAAGTCGCTAGTTCACACTTTGAGAGGTCTTGATATTCTCTTTTATTTATTTACCCATGTTGGGATAGCTAATGGTATCGCAAGATGTTCGCTAGATGGCAACATCGTTTTCTATTTCGATAAACGATCGATAGGACGTTTTCCACCAGAGGGTTCTGCGAGTTACATAAATCCTCCCCCGAATCGCATTTTGCTTTATGGCCATTTTTTGATTAGAATAGATACAAAAAAAATTACAAATTAAAACATAATACTTTAATTTATTTGCTAAACAAATTAAAGATAAAATAATTAGCTATCGGGAAAAGATATTTGTCGGCGGGGTGAAATTTATTTCGACGCAATATGGCAAAAGTAGAAAGAACGTAGGTGGTGGGGGAAAAGGTAGGAGAAGGTTCGGACATTTATCCAACCTCGCATTAACGAGCTTTTCCTAATTATAAGAAAAAAGTGGTCTCTGCGATTAAGGTCTCAGCTTCCCTTCCCTCTTTCCTTTCTCTTTTTCTCTTTCTTTCTGTCTATCTATCTATCTATCCATTTATCCATCTATCTATCTATCCATCTTTTGTTCGTTCGTGCTTTGGTAGTGTAGGTGATAGAGGTTGTTCGGGAGAAAACTAATTGAAAGCACCACCTAACGACCCACCGGCAAATGATACATCGACCCCGAAAAAGGAGTCTGCTCTCTTAATACCGTTTCAGCTTATACCGTCCTTGGGAAAAGGGGAAGGATGCAATTCTGTAATCTTTTTTTGTTTGTTCTTTTTTGGGATACACATTCTTTTTCCCAACAATTTCAATCTTTTTTTCATTTTTTTTTTACACATAGTTACGGGAGATTTTTATTTTTATGCACGACTACGATTATAAAATTTATCTCGTAACGATGATATTAATATTAATATTAATAATAATAATAAAAATAAAATAATAAAAAAAATGGAAAAGAAAATCTGCGAGTTTAACATTTTTTACATACATTTTTTTTTGCCGCATTTTTTGAGCAGAGAAGAAGGGACGGGATTATGCGAATGGCTCGGATATATTCGCCCCGTGGACGGGAAGTATAATCATCGCAATAGGACGCTTAGGATTGACAGATTCAAATTTGCCGCGGCTTAAGAATCGCGAATACGTTGCGTTCGGACAGTCGGTTAAATCTGGGATCAACCCTTTGCACGGATTATACGTATGACATGTTGTATGGCTGACTTCGGTGTTCCTCCTTCCAACTAACAAGGGGGTGGGAAACGAAAATCTCCAACTCGATGGTTGGAAAGGTTTATGTATTAATCTCTCTTTCTCTTTCTCTCTTTCTTTCTTTTTTTTTTCGTAGAATGAGGAGAATGTGAATCGTTGCATCGTTTTTCCATAACGTTCCTTTGATTTTTTTTTTTATTATATCCATCAAAATAAAATGAAATCGATGCGTGTCGTTTCTCTAATCGCGAATATATTATGTCATAATTTGTTACAAATTAAATAACAATTAGTATAGACTCGTTATATATTTAATATTTAATTTTTTTATTCTTTCTTTTTTTTTCGAATATTTCGTGAAAGAATTAGCTTATCTTTTTCTTTTTTATTCTCCTCTTTATTTTTTTAACTCACTCTTTTGGATAATAATTAAGGCACGTTTTTCATAAAGCGATTGATTCATTGTCGGTCGCGAAACTCAAGGTTCTTCGAGGAAAAATATTTTTCCAGCTCGATATCGCATTGTTTTATCTTCGTCCCTTTTCTTCAACTTTTTATGGAATTTTCTAAAGGGTCGGTGATTAATTTTTCGAAACGTCCTTGATTCTGTTCGTTTGTTCTTTTTTTCGTTTTTATTTTTTTTCATCAATTGCTAAAAAATGAGTCTACCTAACACATGATTTTTAATTAATTCGATTTCAATTAATTGACAATTAGAAAATATCGGTCGTGACATAAAAAAGCACGTTCCTTTTGCATTTTCTCTCTTCTTTCGTGAAAACAAATGGTGTTACGGATCGCAATCCGTTGAAGCTAAACTCGAAGGAAAGTCCTTTGCCAATTCGTCAACGTCACTGGATGGATCTTTGAAAGGATTAGGTATTTGCATAGACGATCGCTCAACTTCCTTGGAATATAACTAGTCGAGTTTTCCTTCCTCCTTTTTTCCTCCTCCTCCTCTTCCTTCTCTTCTTCCACTTCCTCCTCCGTTTTCTACTTATACTTTCTATCTTAATGCTTCTCGATCCACGAAGCTTATCGACATCCATTTTGCTTTTCAATTGTCATTCGATCGTTTATTAATATAAACGACCTTATATATTATTCTTTAAACTATGAAAACAATCGGTCTACAAAAAAAAAAAAAATTCAAATAAAAAATAAGAAATTAGTGGATTTGTTAAATGTTGTTATCTATTATTTGATCGATCATTTAAGTTTTTTATGCTTTTCCGAGAGATGTGCTGTTATCGCGTGTGAGTTTTGCATGGTAGAAGGGAGTGCCAAGAGAGAAAGAGAGAGAGAGAGAGAGTGAGAAAGTGAGAAAGTGATAGAGCTTGCATGAGAGAGAAAGAGAGGGAAGAGGGCAGGAACCATAATTAATAACTTTGAATCGATTAAGGTGTCAGATAAGTCCATGGAGCTGGGTCCTTCTATTCGCCGACGCCTTTCTCTCTCTCTTTCTCTCTCTAGTTCTCTTTTTCTTTCTCTTTCTCTCTTTATCGTAGCGTTACGATATGATTAATAATTTTGAGATAACGGCGTCCTCCCTTTGCGACTTGCCACCACCCAGGAGTTAGCTCTTCGTTGTCCCTTCGAGGAGGGCCGATTTGCGGTCCCACTTACGGTCTCATAAATGACTAATTATTCTTGGCTGGCCGTTGTACACATGACTGACCAACCCCAGCGATGTTCGAAATCTTATCGAACGAGAATTCTCTTTCGTATATATTCCAATAATTTCTTTTTTTTCCCTAGATATATTTAAATGAAATAAGTAGATACAATGGAAACAACAAGTATCCGATGATTTACTCTTCGAACGTCCTATTCTTATGGTCCACTATCCACATGCTTTATTATTCGAATATTACGTATACACTTTCTTGCTTGTGTCATCTACTATAAAAAAAGGAAAAAGAAATAAATAGTCTAAGATGTAGTACAATATACTTCGTACAATATTATAATTTCCCTTATTGCTTCGATGTAATATGAACCCTTTGAACTCGAAATTTTGTTTTTCATTTCATATGTTACCAGTAACTCACAAAGCAATTTCAATAGAAAAATCATATTCGCATATTCTAAATATGTAAGATTCGTGGAAAAAAGACTGGTCTCCAGAGACGGGTCTTACGCTTTCCGGGCGACTGCTCTTATCCATTGAACTATCTAAGGCCCACTGACCAATCCTCTTCACGAATTCTTAATAAGTTTGGCATGGAGGCGCTTGCCCCACAATTAAATTATATATATTAAAAGAAAAGTCATAGTTCACATGATGTTGACTAAATTGAATTTGCTTCAGTTTCTTTTTTTTTAAATTTATTTATTGTCTTCATATCGAAGCCCTCAAGTTCAAAGGGTTAAATGTTGAAATGATAGAACGAAATATTCTGTAAACTAACAAATGGTGAAAGTGTAAGGAAAGGAAATAGCTAATGTTTTGTTATATAAAAATTCATTCATCCGAACAATTATATCTTCTAATTAATTCTGGAGATTCTATTGTATATATATAGTTAAAGATAAAAGAGTCAAATAAGGAAGATGAAATTTCGACTATTTTGCATACATTTGGCACGACTAGAGGATTTTAGAGGGGGTTTATACGAAGGAAACGCGTGGCGGAAGGTGAATCGGTACTCGCGGAAGGAAAACTATAAATCATTCGACTAGGCGTCCCCAACGAAAACGTGTATAAGAGTGAAATAGAGAAGAAGAGTAAGAAGAAAAAGATGAGAGAAGAAGAAGAAGAGGGAATGGAGAAAGAGAGACACCAGAGAGGAAGGGGGAGGAGGGTCGTTCTCGCTGTGTAGCGAATCGACTCGCGAAATCCAACTACCCTTAAATAAGTTGATTCATTGCTGGAGTCCTTCGTAGTCACCATAAACTCGCAAACCATCCGAACCCCCCCTACCCTTCTCATCCTCCTCCTCCTTTTCCTCCCCTTCTATCTCTCTCTCCCCTTTTTCTTTCTTCATCTTCAATTTTTTCCTCTCCTTCCTCTCGTCTTTTTCTTGATATTTCGCTAATTCCTGAGAGATTGCCTTCCTCGAATCGAAGAAACGACTAAAACGTTGACTACGAAGGGAAGAATGAGAGAGAAAGAGGGGGTGGGTGTTAGATGGGAGAGAATAGCATTGGAAAATTTAACCGGCTACCCCCTTTTTCTCTTTCTCTCTCTATTCTTTCATTTCTCTTTTCGTTCGATGAAATATCGAGTCGATTCTTGGAGCCATTTTCATCTCTCCTTTTCCATAAGCTACCTTAGCCTTTCGTATCTCGTTTAACGCCGAGAGACATCGGCACGTAGATTTCTCGCGTGATTGATCGCTCTTGCCTGATTGTAGATCCTCGAAAAACTACTTTCGTGTTCGTGCTGTTTGTGACTACGACTGACTTGCGTGTAGTAGCTATTCGATATCGTAGATCAATCCAATTGTTTTATAACGATCTCTCCTTCTATCAGAATTGCTAATCGTATACTATTGAGAGAAAAAGAAAGATAGAGAGAAGAGTTAGA